TTAAAATGACATCCATACTATTAAAACTATTTTCTGGAAGATTTTAATGTTATTTTGACTTTTCAGATGGGGTGACAATTGTTAGAGTTACGCGGAAGATTGTTGTAGATATGCGAAAATGATACACAACATATTCAACAATGAAACAAAATCAGCCATATTGCTTTTAAAAAGCACGAGGTAAATCTACTAGACTAAGTACTTCATGTAAAGACGGAACGTCATTTCTAACAACAATGTCGAGTATACATAACTTTTCTTCAAATATTTTAAAATGCAAAATGAATACCAACATTGCAATTTTTTTCTTCCATTTTCCACTGTTTTTAGAGTGACCTTCTTAATAGAATATTCAGCAAAAATTTGGTTCAAGTCTCATTCATTGTTTTTAGGGAAAATGCAATCATACAAATGTACAATCTTTTTTTAAGAACAATTTTGTAAGAACACGAGCCTCAAAATTGGTCAAAAGTTGAAAAGAAATTAAAAACAAGCTGAGGCTGAGCTACTGCAAAATGCAATTTTGAACAACGTTTTATCTCAAAAAAGAGGATTTATAATCGAACATCCAAATTAAACCACTTTCCTCATAGTCCAAAAATGTGCTGTTCCTTTGTACAATTCAGATTTCACAAAACAGAATTAAAAAAATGTGGAAATCAAAATTATTAATTACAGTGACATCAACACTTATTTTTTAGATTTGTTGAGATTTTAACACAGAAGTCAAATGTTTGCAAAGCATATACATTACATGTCTAGCACTTTGAAATTTAAAATAAGGGAATTATTCCCTTTCTGGTGGTTTTATAAAACAGTTACAAGTGTTTTGCTTGCAAAGGAAAGTGCCTCGAAAATTGATATCATTTTCTATTCAATGTGAGAACTTTGCTATTTTGTGAGTAGACTTTGCTTTCATAATCATCACAATCAAGACTTATTATTTTCTGAGCCAACGCCTAAAACAAGATCTTACTCATTTTTGGTATTTTGTCGTAAATTAAAATTGCGGACCTGTAATTGTAGACAGTGTGGATTTGTAAATAATGCATGTTCTTAAATGTGCAGCATAAAATACAAATCGAAAAGTTTAAGATAGAATTTGGAAAAAATTTTCAATGCTAAGTGAATGCCTAGTTCCACCCTACATATTTTCTTACTATTTTTGGTATTTCCAAAGCAGATCGGGAGATGGCAACATAGTGTTGATGTGGACAGTGTTGATGAGTGCAATCCTCTTCTGTATTGCACTCATTTCTTAAAAGTAAATTGCTATAAGAAATGGGCAATGTGCAATAAATAAGAATTAAGAAACTTCAGAACTTGAAGTTTCAGTACATGCGGAGGAAAATCAATTGCACTTTATGAGATTGTCGTGCTGTTTTGAATTAAGATGGACTCAGTAAACAGCTTGAAATTCAAGACATCGTCTCAAGTTCGTTCGCTTTTATGACTGACTTAAAAAAGATTCTGGGCCTAAAGACCAAGTTGTTTTGGGAAGTCTGCGAAATTATGATTTCCTGCCCGTAATGTATTTTGGGGTTCATGTGATATCTTTGGGTAGATTTCAAAAAAGTTGCAACGGTTTTTTAAATTGGCTAAGGTTTTTTAAATTGGAAAAGCATTGAAAAGATTCCTCTCAAGGCTACAGCAGCTGAACGATACTAGGCCTCTCGGTGGTATATGGGTGGAACATTTAATTGGGAATGTCACATAACAGGGACTATAATCCTCCCAACTTGTTTGCAATAATAGGCTAGGATATGGTTTGAAAGTTTATGCTAACGAACCCATTAGTAGCAGTTCTTCTTGACTGGGAACCCGTTTTTGTTCGTTTTCGTTATGTTCTATCTTGTTTGATCCAAAATAAACCTGTATCTTATCTAACACGACTTTGAAATTTAAATCTTCTCTGGATCGTTGTGTTCATGAGTAAGGACAGAAAAAAAGCAAACAATTTCTGAAAAGGATGTTTTCCGGAGTTTCAAGGGGCGTTGCCGTAACAAAAATTAGGGGCAAGCCCCTAGCTCCGTTCCAGCCACTCCCTTTTTGGCTGGTGCGTGGTGTCTGCGGTCAAAACAAGATGCAGATAAACATCGCGAAAATAGAAAATGAAGAGACAACCACAATTTTTACGTCAGTGAGAGAAGATATAATTGGCCATCCATAACGAGGTTCTCGTTAGTAATAAACATTTTTGAAGCAAAGATTTGATGACAAAAAATTTGAGGGGCTGAATGCAAGTAAAAAAGTTTCATCAGCAAAAAGAGATTTAAGAAAGTTTCATCCAGCTTTTGTCCTAGACAAAAATTTAGCAAGATTTCATTTAATTATGCATTGAAGTTTGAGAAGTGAATGATTTTGATCACAAAGATCTGAGACTTATTCTTAGAGGAATTCTACCAGGCGAGACAATGGCTCGGATTCTCGAAGCAAACTCTAATTCTGCTAATGTAGAGAGGCTGATTCCCACCTACAACAAGATAGAAGCAGGTGGGGAAAGCAGCATAGCTCCAGAAAAATTTAACAAATATATGAATATTGCAATAAGTTTGTTTCTTCTTGCAAGTTTCGAGTTCTGTGAACGACTGCAAAATTATTACTCCAAAAAACCAAACTTTTGGAAGCAAGACTGATTTAAGGGGGCTTTTGAAGGTGAAAGAAAAGAAAAAATAACTTTGACGGAGATCCAAACAAACCATGTAAAAGAGTTTTCTCTCGTTTTTGTTGACAAGTTAAGACATCACTATATTTTGCTAATTTCATTATTAACCAAATCCATATATTGTAAAAAATCAGCTTTTGTTACTTACACTTAATTAATTTAGGATTTTTCCCAATTAAACATGCTACTTGCACTATGGTGGCAGTTTCCATATTGCCACGTCCATTGGGCCAATCCTAGAAAAGTACCACGCCGAATTTTTCTAAAAAAAGGGGGTTTCTAAAAATTTCATATTTTAGGCCCTGTCTGATCATGTTTTCTTTATCTGCAAATTTTCTGACACTGTCTGCTATCCATCAAAAATTTTTGTATTAGCTTTCTCTTTATAAACTTCGATTATTATTCAATATTTTAGTTTTTCTGTCATTCTTTTTTGTTTCTGACAATTTGCGATGAATGAAGAATACAAACATAAATTCTTGTCAAAATTATTGAAACCGCAAATAAAGCTAAAGGCTTTTTAAAAATCCCCCCTCCAAGCACTCATCACAATTTTCTTCTAATTCACTTTTTTGATGTTTCGATTTTTCATTTTTGAGGGCAACTTTTTTTACTGCAAGCGGTTGAAAGGTATTGAGAAAATAAATCAACATTGTCCGGGAGGAGGGGGTCAGATTTTGCAATACTCTACATAGGTTCAAGATTTTGATATGCTTTGCCTGTTTCCATGCAGCAAGGGGAAGGCGTTCCAACTTTTATGGCAAGGATTGTAATATTTTGAACTTTTTAAATATGAAACCTTTTCCACTCTGGCTTTGCTTCAAAAATTGATAGTTTTGCTAAAATGTGAGTAAAGTTAAGGACAGTTCAACGACAGAAAAATCTGTCCTCGATTCATAAGCATAGTTGATTATTTTCTGACGATGTTTTAATTTTTTTTATATTTCTTTTATAATTTATTGCTACACATATATTGTGAGTACAGCATTGTATTTTCTATTACTGTTAGGCTCTTTCTTCTTTAAAATTTCCACAATCATTTAGTATATAATATCATCCAGGCTAATGGTTTTTTATTTTCTGATCAAAAGCAGTGGCGTACCCAGGACTGCAGTAGTGAGGGGAGGTCTGGAGCGCAGCCCCCAGAACTTTCTTGTACCATGCCCTTCAAACTCTCGCAAATACGGGGAAACGCCCTTTTTGCAAAATTTTCCCCCATTATTTGATTCATTTCAGCTATGGTAAATAGCAAAGTAATTTACAATTGTTATTGACACAAGCATACAGTATACTACCCCCCCCCCCCCCCAATGAGTTTTAAATCGTTTTTGGACAAATCTCGATGACCATATTTTAGAAAAGTGGAGAGGTCCGGACCTCCCTATTCCCCCTCTTGGGTACGCTTCATTTTCTTTAATGTCACAATGTTGTTAAAATTGTGAATAGAGTAAATTGTGAACAATAAAGAGACCTAGACATCTGTTTGTGTTTAATTTTCAAGGGTGATTATTTCCTCTTCATGTCTTCATTATTTTTTAAAGTTTTTGATAATATTTTGCTATTCGTCGATAATTTTGTTTATTGTCACATCTATTTTTTGACATCGATTATTGTTCAGTGTCTTATATCATTTATTATTGTTTCTGGGATTTTGAGATAAATGAGAAATACAAACTAAGCATGCTTGGAAAATAATGTCTTTTAACTAACAATTGAAACATCACTGAAATTTATGATCAAAATATGATAAAAATTTTATTTGTGTTCGATATTCATGCGTGATATACTCTGACCATTTTCATTATTTTGAAAATCACACTCTTCAGGAGATAAATCACAGACTAAAGACGGCGAAAATAAATACGATAAAATAGAAAATATAAAAAAGAATGCAATAGTAGTTTTGTTCTATTGACTTGAATTCCTCATCAGAATAATAGCCAAAAACACGAGGATACAAAAAAACTGTACATACCCAGCTAAAGGATCGAAATAGACCAATCAAAACCCGAGAACAAGGCAGGTATTATTTAATTACCAATCAGTGTAACATGCTTGATAAACATTTGCATTTTCAATCCACTTTCTGACGTTTCATAATTTCAGTCAGTCTAAAATTGGTGTTCTTTCAGGATATGGGATCATTGATAAAGATTTTTGTGACGTCATCTGGTTGCCACTTTATGAGAATAAATTAATTTCAATCACCACACCCAAACCACGCCCTATTTTACTCTTCTTTTCAGTAGGATTTTCCATTGGTTTGGCTTACGGGCCAAGGGAAGTATGAACATTTTCCAAACTTTGAGAAATTGAAAGCAGAAAAGAAAAACGATTCTCTGTTCTCATTTATCTTGAAATTCTCACTACACAATAATAACAATCTGCTTGAAATTTACAAAATTTTCACCCACATAAAATAAAATAGTCTACACTGTTCTTAACCCCCTGCTATAATCATTAATGTAATCGAGGATTCATTATTCTCCTACAGATCTAGGGGGGTTATTGTCAGCAACACCGTTGTGGCGGCCCTGACCCCCACAATCATAAACACATACATTATGAACGAGCCCCACGCAAAAATGGCCCCCAATTTGTTCTTGACACCGTAGGATCAAAATTTAGTCACAATCTAAGAAAACTCTATGTCTTAGAAACTAAAATTTGAAAAAAATTCATAACAGGTCTTTTTATTTTTGAATTTACCCTCATCAGTTCGATATCTACTCAAGAATCAAAACTAAATTTAAGGCCTAATTTTTGTTAACTTGAACCGAAGGTAATTTCAGGTTTGTAATTTCGTAAAACTAGAATATAGTTTGAAATTTGTCGATAATAGGGGTTCAATCATTAGATTAGGAACTTTTGAAGCTAATTGTGAATATCCTAAATTTTCAGCTAATTAGAAAGCAACTTATGTATCGAATAATCCATACAGAAAATAAATTTTAGGCACTTTCAATTAGGTTTGGAATTCAGTTGAAAATATCTCACACCGTTCTTTTATCAGCAGAAATTCCCCACTTGTGAAAGAACAGCTTTTTATAGGGTAGGGTTATCTTAATAGTCGTAAAGGCAGTAGTTTTTGATTTACATGAGGTAATTGAAAGATCAATGGCTTGGTCACGTGTAGTCAAATTCGTGATGCTTCGAGTTCATTAACTCGAAATTCAAGAGGACTGCTTTACACGTGACCTCTGTCTGAAATAGACACCAAAACGAGGGTTGATTCTACGCAATGCTTTCTTTCATGCCAAGCTAGGCTAAGAACTGCCAAGATGGTGATTTACGGATTTTATTTTCTAGTAACAAAACCATCCAATTTTATCGACACTTTTCTTCGTTTGTCATCCAATCTAAACACCATTATCCATTCTGCGGGTAACTGCATTTTAACTTACATCCTAACGAGGAGATATAGAAATCTGCGTATTAAACGAGGGTCTCACGCGCTTCAATGGTTTCACCAATAGTCCTTGATCTTGGATCCATTTGAACGAAATACGCCTCTTGTTTCGCGTTCGAAACGTCGAAAATCCTCATTACATAATTCTGAATTTTGTATCGAATTCCCGAAGTTCGTGTCCGTGAGCAATGCTCGCAAAGCGCTTCGACGTCCTTGCCGTGCGGTAGGTCCACAATTTCGTATTGCCGCAACAAATAGACGCCAATAACGACCAAAAATATAATGAATACCGACCCAACAATTGGCGCGACGACAACCGCGCGGTCATAAAATACATTGTCGTTGTCCTGATGCGGATTATCCTCGTATGGAAACGATCCTCCTTCCCAGTCCAATTTACTGTTACTGAAGTTCAAAGGTCGGAATTGAGTTGAATTGTCTGATACATTGTGTCGAGTGTTGAGTTCTGTCTTCAGCCGTTTACCTAAAAAAGAATTCAAAAAAATCAAAGACTTTGTAAACAAAATCCAATTTAAAGCTAACAGTTTAAAAGTAAGAGTCAGAATTTGTCTGAAAGTTTAGTTAATTAGGCATTGAAACCTAGTAATTCAATTCAATTCTTGCAGAAACGACAAAAACAACACCAACACGAACACCACCACCACCAACAACAACAACAAGTGCGTTGCCAAGAACAACGAGATAAACAAAAGAAATATTGAATTCACCTTATCAGATCACATAACTAAACTCTAAAAGACTCTTCTATCTAAAAGATTTTCGGAACTCCACGAAATATTTTTGAATTTCACACTCCAAACACCATTGGGAGCCTTTTAACCCAGACATCGTCATAAAATCAGGCGTCAAAACATCTGATAATAAATTAATTCACTCACAACTAAGATCTCCAAGATTGTTTTGAGGGGAGGGGGGGGGGCGATGGGCTTGTTATCAGATGTATTGAAACCCAGACAAAAGCATGTTAAATAAAATATTTTTCATTCATCTGGGAAAATAGCCTTCTCACATTTGATCAAAGACTGAACATAACGTTTTAGCATCTGATTGAACCATCAGCTAGACAAAGGCATTTAAAGCGGGTGTTGGTCACCCCCTTATTTAGCCCTTGATCAAGATTGCCGAGAGGGAATATAACTCTTTAAAAAACCTCCTATATTTTTGGTAGAATCCTTTTGTTTTATTAGTAAATCCCTAGAAACATGGACGTACCGGAGGCTGGAAGTTTAGGGGGTTTAGCATGGGTGTTGCCGAATGATTTTGCTTCGTTGAAACAAAATTGTCCGAATAGGCCTAAACTGGATACAATTTGCATGTTCGGGGAGGGGGGCTGCAGAGCCCCTATGTTTACTACGCCTATGCCTAGAAATTATTTCGCTTTGGTGGAAATCTTCTACACTATTTACAAATGTGAATTTCCCCTCGCCTATTACAGTTGATCATACGACCAACATCGTGAGAGCCACCAGCCTCGATTAAGTTTAAACCATCCTCGATTTAGCTGGCAAGGTCGCTTTGACGTCACAGCACACGAATAAACAGGATTTCCATAATCGTTCACGCGCTTTCCCCCGGCATCAGTTAGCAGACTTTAATAAGTTCAGAATACCATAGGATAATAGAAGGGCTGTATCTTCAGTGATATAGTTTAATCCAATTTGAGACGGTTTTGCGAGTATTGTCTTGTAATCCAATACAAGACAAGTTTCCGAGGTTGGGTTGGACGGCCAGAGATACGAAAACCAAAGACCTAGTAATACTTGCTAATAACGATAACAAGTTTCCTAGCCTTTCACTTGAATCTTCTTGATGAATTAAGCAGCCGTTCAGAGCATTGCACTGCTGTGATGAAGTGAAATTACTTGGCTGCTGCGGGGCCTCCTTCGTAGTAGTAAGCCCAGGGAAGTTACTTTTTCTTAGGAAGGAGTCGCTTGAAATGCATTTCTGGCAGATTCAGAGAAACGTAATGTCTGGGTTTTAATTAAGATTTCGTATAAAACGTTTTTAATCGTTGCTACAGCAGTTGTTGTGTTAGTTGTGTTGGTGTATAGTTAGGCAAAGATAGAAGAAAAATCTAGACGTAATTCTCCAACGCTGACATTCTGTTATTTCTTGTTTGTACGTGTATAATCCTTGACGTGCCGTTCAGATTACTTCAAACAAAAATATACCCCCCCCCCCTCCCTACGATATGTCTAATCGGGCTCTAACGGAATATAAGTCTTCATCCCTACAAGTAATCAAACTTGCTAGTTTTAAGTCAACCTTGAAACTTTTAGTTACTAGATTTCTCTATCATTATAAAAAAAAATTTGTGTACTTTATTTAAATCTCATTTGTAAGTGCCCATGGCCACACGCGTCCGGTGTAAGAGGCTGGGAGGGCGCGGGTGGACTCAAGGACTACAGAGCATATTATAGATTGAGGAGGCTAAAACGTTTTGTTGGCTAAACATGTTAAAAACCAAGAGCAAGACGACTTTTTGTATGGTTTTAAGTACATTTTGGAAATTATTGGAGGGGCTAAAGCCCCCTAACCCCTCCAACACCTCCGCGGTCCCTGGGTGGACTTGCTACAAGCCTCTCTCTCTCTCTCTCTCTCTCTCTATTTAGTTGCCGGAAATAAAGAATAGAAGAGAAAAAGGAACGGGAAGGAGAATCTTTATTTTTCAGATTACTAAATATCGAGAGAGACCTGTAGTAAGTCCAGGGGGCGGGGGACTGCAGACCCCTAGAGTTAAATATTCGTGAAAATCGCAGATCGGTCAAAAACGCCTTTCATACTCAAAAGAAAACTGCCATACATGTCCAATCAGTTAGAATTTTAGCGCTCGAAGTTTATAAAACACGTAACAACCTTAATCCTGTTTTCATGAAAGACTTTTAAAATTTGATCAAAACTTGGTTCCTTGAAAACAAGTGCGCATGCTCATTTTGCAGTAAATGAACTGTCTTATGCAATCCTTGAAATTGCTTCATGTTAGTCTTAATTAGTGTATATTTACTATTGTAGAAACTAACATTAAATAATCTAAAATACAATACAATACAATACAATACAATACAATACAATACAATACAATACAATACAATACAATACAATACAATGATAGTATAATCAACATAACATTCAAAAGAAAATGCCGTCAATTTTCTATGAACGAGTAGCATGACCTAGCTTTTAAAGATGGTGGTTGAGATGCTTATGCAAGTATAATCATCATAACTTTCAAATGAAAACATCATCACATTTCAATTAACTCTTGACTCTAGCTTGTATTTAAAGATTACGGTTGTATACAGGATAAGTGGCGCCGTAATCAAACGCGATAATCCACAGACCAAAAGCAGCCGACCAATGATAAGCAGGTATTTGTGTTGTTAAAACCCTCAAGACAACACTTGCCCAAAAGACACCGCTCGGATAAACGATATACTTTAAAATTCAGGAAAGACCAGCTTGAAATAATCAGCAACAACAACGTGCTAGGTTGTTTACAGAAGCTCGGACCATATCCGGAAATAAGGGGCTGAAAACGGGGGATTTCTTCTCTGAGGTTGTGTCAACCCTTTTTTTATGTACCATAGCATTTCATGACGTAGGGCGAGGCCGCGAGGGGCAAATCATTCTAAGAAAATCTCGTACACCTTTTGTGAAAATCCGATCGGTTTACCAGAAAATCCCCAGAAATCCTTTTGTTTAAGGCAAAATCTTGTTCGCTATTTGCAAGAGTGAATCGCCCCTCAACGTCTTTCTCCATCTCTCTCTGTCTCTCGCAATATTCCCAACTACCCGGGTGTTTTTCAGCTTTTGACTCAATCCCGGAAAATATTTCAGAGAGGTCTCAACATTTTACTAAAAAACAGAGTCTATAGCAACATAATAATTTAAAAATCTTTAAATTCTAAAAAACCCATTTTAACAGTCAAATTGTCAATCAAAAGGACATCACCGTTCCTTTCACGAATATAATAATAACAATAATAACTAAAAAAGGATTATCTACAATCATTCCAAAGTCCACAGGTCCGCAAATTATAGTCCCCCTTTTGCCCTGGTCCATTCAAAAGCGTCCGGCAATGGCTGTGACAGGTGGTGAAGACGAAATGACGACATGGTATTGACGGAGCATTGTAGTGTCACCAGACAAAACATGGCACACTGGACAAATATTTACTAAACATAGCGAAATAACACAATGGCCTTGCAGCGACTGTCTGCACCACCTAGACGTCAGGGGGGACGAACGTAAAACATCATGAAGATCACATCATCAGTGATCATAATAATCATCACCATTATTAATCGTTATGATTGTTATAATTATCATAAATAAAATCATCACCGCTATTTGTCGTCCTAATTATCTTGATTATTATAATTTTACGAAATTATATCATAATTATGTCATAATAATAATCATGATCAAATTCATAATCACAGCCATCACCACCATTGTCATAATTATCATAATTATAATCATAAACATAATTATGATAAATCTCAGAATAATAATCATAATCAAATTCATTATCACAGCCATCACCACCATTGTCATAATTATCATAATTAAAATCATAAACATAATTATGATAAATGTCAGCATAATAATCATGATCAAATTCATTATCACAGCCATCACCACCCTTGTCATAATTATCATAATTATAATCATAAACATAATTATGACAAATGTCAGAATAATAATCATGATCAAATTCATTATCACAGCCATCACCACCATTGTCATAATTATCATAATTATAATCATAAACATAATTATGACAAATGCCAGAATAATAATAATGCTCAAATTCATCAACCCAGCCAATCATCGTCACCGCTTTAGTCACGAGGATTGTAAAAGCAACAATAGTACTACAGGGCGGACCAAATGACTTGCCACTCAGATATTCGGGTTTCAAAACACATAACCAGTCTGCGAAAGCCTCAAAATGGATCATGGCTTGCAGACTCATCCTCACATTTTGAGTAGGTATCCATTGAATTGACCCTTCTGAATCTAAATTGCGTTTTGTAACAAAAGGCTTTTCATTCTTGTCCATGTGGTATACACATCTCTTGGCCGTGAAATTTGTCACTTGGCCTAACAGCTTTGCAGTAATCCCTCCGTGGTCAAGTACGCTTTACTGAGGATATTTAACGAAATTTTTCATCAACACCGCCAACAGTGGTAAACCTTTCGGATCTGAGAGAAAAATCAAGGAAACAGAGCCAAAAGATCTTTGTCTATCTCCAATGAGAACGAAAAGATCACGTGTTAATCATAGAACCAAACTTTACTACGGCGGTATTCACTTGACTGAATGCAGGTATTTGGCATTTGACCAGTGGTGTAGTGCTATCAAAATAACAAGAGGGGCTCTTGCATTAAATGTTACGAAGAACAGTAGCAAAAGTAGAAAATTCCTAATTTTTAGCATCAACAAAGGGGCCTAGCCC